CTGTTGTTTTTAATTTGTTTGTTTTTATAAACATTATTATTCGCTCTTTTGTAAATTATATAATAAAAAAAAATTATATTTTGTATTTTATTATTTTAAAAAAATATATTTATTTTAAAACGTTGTTTTAAAATAAATATGTTTTTAACTTAAAGTAAACAATAAGTCCAAAAATATTGTAATTATGATTCAAACCAATATAACCAATAACACAACCAATAACATAAATTAAGTTTAGACCATTTGATTAATCATTTTAAAACTTCTTAAAGTGATAAATACTTTTAATTTGGTGTTTAATATAAACTTGACATCAAAAAACATTTTAAACAAACTGAGTTTATAAAATCATTTTTTGGTTTTGGACATTTGTACTTTTCTACGTTTTTAATACACTCGTTTATAAAGTGAGATGACGTCCACTCAACCAAAGTCAAATCATTTGAGCAACATTTACTCAATGACAAAACTTCGATTCGATGTTTGAGTCTGTTAATCATGTTGTACTTTTGTTTTTTTTTCTCGTTGTTACCAATTTCATCAATTAAAAAACAAGATGTTGGTTGTCAAATTACTTTGTTGTATCTATAACTTTATATGATAAAAATGTTCACCCAACCATTGTTTGTAACAGCAGCTTTGTTTTCAATGATGTTACGCACAATGTATATGAATAATAGAATTAATCGATCAAACTGTCCAAGTTCGTTTTGATAAAAAACAAAGATTGATTAATAAATCAATAATATAAAAAAACTGAATCACAAAAATATTACATATTTATATTTTAAATATAGTTTATGGACTGACTTTATTATATTGTTTTGAAAAAATAAAAATAGAATTAATTCATCAAATATTTTGCATTGTGGTATTACTGATATTTACAAGATTTGCAAATTTAAATGTAAATTTAATTAAAAATAAAATATACAGTAAAACCTCTCAAGAGCGGGCGGGTGTGGTATTTTTTATCTCAAAAGCGGGCATTTTTAGCCAATCAAACCTTAAAAACCGCTCAATAGAGAACTCTATTTATAGTTTCAGTCTAAAAAATGCCCGCTCTTGAGAGAACCCGTTCTTCAGAGGTACCGTTCTTGGGAGGTTTTACTGTACATATAAATACATAAATGTATTAAATGTAATAATTAATAAGTAAACCACAGTTTATTTTCTTGAGAATGATTTACTTCAACAATATTTCAGCCGCCCAAGAGTGGCACGTTATAAAGCGAGTTCTTTTGAGAGCGGGAATGTTTAGCCAATCAAATATTAAAGAGGATTTATAATAAACAAATATTTTTGGTTTTATTATAATGTTATTACAATCAAAAGAATACTAAAATTAATATTGCATATAATTATGAGAAGTAAGAATGTGGTTATATATTATTTTAATATTATTTAATTGTACATTATAAATTAATCGAGTTGGATATATTTTATAATTTATTTCTAATGTAAAAATACAACAAACAGATAAGTAGAAGATCCAAATTATCCGAGTTATTTTAATGAATAACTTTCTTTGATTAAGATTTATCTCTATCATTAAATGAAATATTACTCTGATATTTACATTTAATATATGAATCTTTGTTGATATTTATGACTTTAGATGGTATTGTTACATTATTTAAATTATAGCACTTATGGAAACACCAATCACCAATTGAAATGACACTTGATGGTATTATAACATTGCTTAAAGTACTGCAATCACAAAAACAATTTCTACTAATTGACGTCATGCTAGATGGTATTGTAACACTACTTAGATAGCTACAACCTTGGAAACAATTATCACCAATTGAAGTTACACTTAATGGTATCGTAACACTTGTCAAACTGCTGCATTTATAAAAACAATAACAACCAATTGATATAACACTCGATGGTATTGTAACTTTACTTAGATTCAAGCATTCATAAAAACAATAATTACCAATTGATTTCACACTTGATGGTAATTTTAAATTCCCCAGATTTTTGCAAAAACAGAAACATTCATTGCCGATAGATGTCACACTCGATGGTATTGTGATACTACTTAAATTGTAACATTTATTGAAACAACAATTTTTAATTGATTTCACATTTGATGGTATTATCAAACTGGTCAACTGTAACATTGATTAAAACATCTAAAACCAATTGATGTCACATTCAATGGTATGTTATTACCAAATTGTTTTCTGTTGTTTTTGGTGTATATAATGTTTTTAAACTTGATGTTTTGACTTGTGTTTTCATCATTAATAGTAACATAATCAACATCAAACCATACAACAATTTGATAAAACATCCGTTTTGGCACATATACTCTGTTTTTATTTACATCTTCATACATTCCATTGTATACATGGTTTTTATTGAACTTAATCAAAAATCCATTGCCAAAATTTTCATCTTCTTTATTCCACAAGTGAAGTGTCTCAATGTTTGGGAAGTATCCAAGTGTTTTGGAATTTAACGGAATTGGGTTGAAGTGGAATTTTTCCATGTTACCACGGAACTTCTTGCATACCAATTCTAAATTAATGAAGTCGTTAATCGTTATAAAATACTTCGAAACGATCATAGCATGATAGCTGCCAAGTGTAGACATTTTATATTTTACAGTTGTATTTTTGTTTATATATTTACTACTTTTTGTGAGAAAAATAATATCAAAATACTTTAATATATCTAGTTTTGACACATTTCCAAAATATTTAGTCATCATTTTTATAGTTATAATCATATTAATGTTTTTTATTGTTTGATTGTGGTTGTTTATAAAAATATTCGAACACACATTCTAAACAAAACATTAAAGATTATAAAAAAAACATCATTTTATTATTTTTAATAATAAATCGTCATATCTTAAATAAAATCGTCTAATAGAAAAATTATTAATTATTTTGAACATTTGTTTTTATATTTAACCTTAGTAATATAAACTAGAATTCAAAAATCGATAGTATATTTATTATTATTTTTTGGTAATATGTCAAGTTTTATCTTATTATACTTTTATACTTTTTTGGATCTGATAAAAATTTGAGGAAAAAGTAGCTTAAATTTAGACATAAAAAATAAAAATACACTTTTTTCAAACAAAAGTTGCTCAAATTTACAAAAGAAATAATCTTGAGTTGTTTCAAATAAAAAAATATCATAAATGCATTTCATTAAACCCAATTCATGTTATTTTAGATTTGAAACAATTCAATTAAAAATTTGTCAAAAACAAACTATTTTAATGGGATAAAAAACATTTACATAAATAAACAATATTGACTTTTGTAAAACTTATTTTTTTTAATTTCAACAAAAATCACATTGAAAACAAATTAATATTAATTAATTGCAATATTTAAACTTATAATCTTTAAAAATGATTACATGTCTGTTATCAATAAAACAGATAAGCTCATTGTTAATTTATTAAGAGAAGGGAAATCATTTTCTTTTATTACCAAAACACTTCATGTATCACCAAACAGAGTTTCTTATAACAAAAAGAAAATTGAAAACAATGAAGAGTTAATTTCAAAAACTATAGGCAGACCTTCAATTATGACACAACAAAAAATAATAACTTTGATCAAAAAAACTTCTATTAATCCAGAATCAACGTGTTGTGATTTGGCTAAATGTATAAATGTATCAAAATCAACAATTCAAAGATACAGAAAAATAAACGGGTTTAAATATGGCAAACTAAAGAAATCTCCATTTTTAACAAAAGTTAACATTAATAAAAGATTAAATTTTTGCAAAAAGGCGGTACTAAAGAAAAATTATAAAAAATGGAAAGAGGCTATTATAAGTGATGAGTCGAAATTTGGATTGTTTTCAGATAACGGAAACTGTTGGTATCACAAAAGCAGGAAAATGAGATATAACAGAATAAATTCATTTAATATTGGAAATCAAACTTTACTTATTAAAAAGAACAATAAGATTTTTAAATCAATGTTTTTAACACTTCCAAAACACAACGATTCATTGATGGTTTGGGGAGCAATCGGAAATAATTACAAATCACAGTTGTTACTATGTGACAACAGACTTAATGCAATTGGCTATCAACACATGCTTGGAAGTAATAAAGTGTTTGATGATATTAGACGAAAACGCAACAAACAAATAGTCTATTTCCAACAAGATGGTGCCAAGCCACACACAGGAAAAACGACATTGAATTTTTTGGAGAACAATAAAGTGAGATTGACTGGGTGGCCTCCTTCAAGTCCGTATTTATCACCAATTGAAAACGTTTGGTCGATACTTGAAAATAGAATTAGAAAAAAGAAAAAAATATTTTAAAAACAAAAAGAGTTTGTTTAGAGTGCTGAAGAAAGAATGGGAATCGATACCAATGGATACAATTAACAATTTAATGCAATCGATGGAAAAAAGATTTTTCTTTGTATTCAAGAAAAAGGTAAATTCATTGGCCATCTTCTTTAAAAAAGTTGCTCGAGAAAAAAAGTGTTATTACATAAATTGTATCTTATTTTTACGTGTTTTTAATTAAGATTTTCAACAATTAATGGTTTTACTTTTTGAAAAAAGTTGATATTGAAATATAAATAGATTCCGTAGTTTTCCCAAAACATTATGATAAAAATAGACCAAAATATTTTGGGGTACTATCGACTTTTGGGAAACAGTTTATAACCGATTGAATAGAATTAATATTTCTATTTTAAAAAAATATTGTTATTTTTTAAAAATAAATAATACTACAAGTCACTAACAAAATATGAATAAAAACTATCAAATTACGTCAAAAATCTCATCATTGGTGTTGACAAATATGATAAAGAGAACCGTATCGATTGTTGCAAAAAAAGTTAAAAAATTAATCACATGTTTTGCTTTCTTCAACAACCCACACCACAATCAACAAAAGATGCACACAATAAAATGGATTAACGTGATTTGAATAGTCAAAGAGCCAACATCAGCAATTGTTTTATATTTATTGGACAAGAAAAAGAAAGAATGAATTGATTATTGATCTTGGATGTGTAACTTTTGATATGTAGTCATCAATTATTAACAACCAAGTGTTAGAGTTGGAGGCGACTAATTGCAACTAACTTAATGAAGACTTTGACAACACAATGGTCAACCCCTTCATTGCAAAGTTCAAAAAATATACAAGAAAAACATCTCAATCATAGAGTGTAGTGTGAAAAGACTGCAAATATATAAAGAGAGAAATAGTAAACATTATCATTTGCAACAAAACAAACATTGAGGTTGATCGGCTGTATAGTAGTATTGACCATTACATTTACTTTAACTAAAATAAATGAAGTTGTTGATAACATTTTATAAATGATAAAGGTAAAACAATTGATTTTAAACAACACATTCATCTTTTTTTTCATGCTAATTCTTCAATTGTTTGTTAGTTTTATTAGCTTGTACATGTACCTCCAATTCAGTTTTCATCTATTTTTTGTCAATTTTGGTCTTTGTCAAGTCGATATATTAACCTTTAATTGTTCAGCCATCCATATCAAAATCCTATCATTCTTTTTATCAATATTTTATTGGTCAACTTGGACTGTCAAGTCGGTTTTTCTTTTGTGCTATTTTTAAATTGTGTTATTTGTCAAATGTCAACTGGACTTTCTACAATTTGCTATCAGTAGCCTTTTTTACATCACTTGCACTGTTAAATTTTTGTGTTTCGGAACCAAAATGTGCTTCAAATTCAGTTAGTCTGATATTCAACGTGTTCTTCTTTTCTTTTTGAGAAAATTGAAAAAAAATGAATCGACTTCAACTTTAAGTGATGAAACTTGGAGTTGAGTGTTTTGTCTTGGTCTTCCATCAAATCGGTCAAAAAGAGTTTTTTCGGCTTCAGCGCTGCTGTCCAACATCATCTTTTTAAATTTAAATTAATTATTTAATTGAAAGAA